CCGGGTTTTAGCTCATTACTTACAGGCACTTTCCTGAGGCTGATAGTGGGTTGTTTCTTCTTGGCGCTCAGAGTCTCTGTCCAAACACAAGGAAGCATTTTATCCCTTAGGCTTTGTTTTTCCTCCCCTCTCTTTTGCGTTTAATTTCGACATTAGCTAAGGCAATATAATTTGCCATCCAGTGACCTTGACAGATTGTAGCAGGGACGCAGGCCAGCGCTGATGCCTTTGAGGAATGAGCATTTGATGAGTGGAGGAGTTTAGCTCACTAGGTACAACTTTAACTGAATTCCCCTTCCAGAGCTATCAGCTCCTTCCTGACCACACAAATCCTGCCATTTATTTGTCCAATTTTTCTTTTAATCAACAATGAAAGCCTTTGAGATACAATATACAGGTATAAAAAAACATGCTGAAGACAAACAGATATCTAATTAAATCTGTTATCTTTTCACCATCTGGGATGGGGACAATGGCCTTCTACTCACCCCTCCAAATTTAATTTATTAATTAAATAAGCTAAACAGACAAAAGGAACCTTAAACAGTGTTATTTTCATTGTATTTCATTTTATCTTATTTTATTTTATTTAAAAAAATAAATAAACAATATATTTAATCTAGATTTATATATATATCTATATATATATATAGAGAGAGAGAGAGAGAGAGAGATAGAAAAAATACAGAAAAAAACTTTAACTTTGTGAGATATTATTTCAGTGATCATGTGACACTGACGACTGGAGTAATTATGCATGATAATACATGTAAATATTTTCAAAATATATGCTGTATGTGCGTGTCTTTATATATACATAATAAATATACACAGAACACACACATATATTATGTAAACAAAAACTTTTATTTTGGATGTGATTAATCGCGATTAATCGTTTGACAGCACTAATATATATATATATAGTGGGACCTGTAAAAATGTTGTCAGTAAAAGTAACAATTTCACCAGGCCAGCAGAAAAAAGAAATATATCTTATTGGTGAGACCTGTCATGGGCTACATGCTTGTTTATGCAAGAGCAAAAATAATAGCAAAAAGATGCTAATAAACTAGGATGAATTTCTTTCGGTGGCATCTGCTCCGCGTCACCAGAGACTTTAGCGCCTCAGTCTATGAGGCAGTCTCAGGTCAACTGAAACTAGAGGAAGGAATGCAGGAAGGAAGCAAAGAAAAGGGAAAGAGCGAGATAAAGTGGCCTTGCACACTGTAAAATCTCTGTTCTCGTCAATTCCAGAGGGAAGAGAGAAGCCCGCAGATAAGACTCCAGAAAAGGTCGAGGTAGAAGAGCACCCTCTCTCTCTGCCTCTCTACCAAGAAGAGAGGGAAACACTTTCGGAGAGCAGATTGGAGGGAAAAGGCGCTCATGTTCTGGCAAATTATGGAAGCATAAAAAGCCCATGCTGGAAATATTTGACTATGCCAAGATATAAAAGGTAAAAGGACCATCTGTGCCATTTGCATCCCGCTCTCTCTGGTTGTCTCTGTGGTGCAGCAGAGTAAACCATCTCGCAGCAGATGCTGATGGAACGCAAACATACAAGTTAGTGATGCTAAGAGAGCTTGTGTGTCCAATCAGAATGAGCCTCAGAGATGATAAAGATGCATTATAATGTGATGCAAGTTGCAAGTATAACCATGGCAACTGTCCCAGCCTGTTTTGTCTATGCAGTGTTGTTTGTGGTGAGTGGTGAGCTTCCTTCCTCCGCTACCGTGAAGACCATGCCATAATGAAGCTGTTTTTCAAGACTTGAATGCATTAAGTCAACTCATCTGAAGCATAGGGATTAGAAGAATCGGTTCACCGATGCATTGCGATTCTCTCAAATTATTAATGATCCTCAAATTCATGAAATTATTATTAAATCTGTTTCTTCAAATGATTAACAAGATAAAATATTACGAATACAAGGATGGTGTGCAACACTACAGAAAGTCAAAGACGTACCGTAATCACTGTTGCTAAAAACCTGAGAAGCATCAAGAATCATTTTACAATCAGATTCAGGCTCACTGAATCAAAACAAAATCAAATCATGAGGAACCTAAAGATTTTCAACCCTAATAGGCAATGGTCATTGTTATTTTCTGTTTTTTGCTCTGGTTTGACACATATACAGTGACTGACTTTCACCAAAAGCATACTTATTACTTCCCAATTCATGAATTATACACATTTCATTCAAGAATAGAGGTCGTCGCAACCCAAAAATGGATCACAGGTCTATTCTGAAATGGTTGCTGACAACAGGGTAACAAACTCTGTTATATAATATATATATACAGTGGGTACGGAAAGTATTCAGACCCCCTTAAATTTTTTCACTTGGCGACACAGCGTGACTTATTTGTAAAGCATGATTTCTATAAACTACAAACAAAGCAGTGAAATAGACTTTCTGAGATTATTGAATGAAGGCGCTCAACAACATATTCTGATATGATAAAAAGAAAAGAAAATAAAAACACAGACAGTCTCAGAATGGGTGTGTGGGTGGAAATTAGTCACAGAAGAGTAAATGCTCAACACAAGAAAACCAAACGATGGGTAGAGTATACAGAGAGAGAGAGGGAGGGAGGAAGAGAGAAGCGAGGGAAAGCTCGAAGACTTCCAGTAGATGTCGGCTTTGACAGAGAAATAATGAAGTGACATGATGCCGATGCAGAAAGAGACAAAATGCAGCTTACTCGTTTAATGTTTTTGGGGCTGATGAATCTCCTAAGGGCTGAAATGAGACATACAGTATGTTCCTCTCGCCGAGGTTCTGCCTTTACACTAATGAATCACATAATCCAGCCATAGAGGATTCGATAAGCCTATAAAAAGCTTTAGCTCAGGCATCACTGTCTGAAAGATTGCTTCAAGGTTGCTGGATGCTGTTACATCCAATTCAATTGTTTCAGCTCAGAAGTGACATAACATTAAATCAAGGATGGAGGAGAAAGCCACAGATCTTCTCATTTAGTCAATATCAGCTTCTTGTTAGAACAGACAGGTAGCAGAACACAAAACAGATATTTGAGCTGCTCCGCATTTCAACGACAGGAAAATCAAATACAGAATATTAAAAAAATAAATAAAAAAAAAAAGCTTAGGTTTGATCGTACAGTTTTAAGAAAGCTAGAGGAAGCAAAAAGGAATTGAACATACTACAAAAGTAGGCCTAAACCAATTTTACAAGTTGTAATGGTTAAAGAAATCAGACTAGTACATGTTGACATGCAAAAACTGTTTTTTAAAAAACAGTGGCGATAAAAGAATGCAAGAATATAACCCTAAGGAGGTTAGTTGGTCTCCTATCATGGCTTAGCTTGCTAGATTTGTTTGTTTTGCTAGTTTTAGACAGGTTTTGGGCACTAGTCAGCTGGTAAGGCCGGAAAACCAACTGGCTGACCAGCTAAACCAAGTTAACCAGGTTGGGAGACCAACTAAATTAACTAGAACCAGCAAACCACATCATTTAAGAGGGCTAGTTAACTGTTAAGGCTGGGAGACCAGCTAGCTGACCAGTTTAACCAGCCTGGGAGACTAGCTAAATTAGCTACGGCCAGCAAACCACATCATTCAAGAACACTAGTCAGCTGGTAAGGCTGGGATACCAGCTGGATTACCAACTAAACTGGCTTAACCAGGCTGGGAGACAAGTTAACTTATCTAAGAATGGGAGACAAGCTGGTCAGTCAACTAAACCAGCTTAACCAGGCTTGGAG